TTATTATTATTCTATGCTATTATACAAAAGGAAAAACGTTTTAGACTATATACACAATATTTAAATAAAAACTAAAATAAAATATTAACAACTTAGTGCAAAAAACTGATTTTGGCAAAATTATGCAAATTATACTATATCAAAATGAAAAGAAAAACTTAAATTATCATACATATTATTATTATTTCTAATACGTAAAACAACAGTAAACTAAAAGAAGAAGATGCGGATGAACAAATAAAAGCGATCAACAAATTGAGAAAAATACAAAATACAAAAAAAAAAAAAAACGAAAACTTGTTTCATTTTTCTTTATTTCCATTCTGTTTTTTCAAGTGTGATGATGACGTTGATGTGGCTTGTGAATTGGCAGACGGAATGACAAAGAGAGAGCTTTGACGGACGGACAGACAATTTGGCACATTACATACCCATATCACTTTCTATATATATCTATCCAAAATTTTATAATTTCGTTCGCAATTTGTAAACTTCAAAACAAAAACAAAAAGACAAAAGAAAACACAAAAAGGCTGTGACTTGAAAAAAAGAAAAACTAAAAAAATACTAAAAATCAAATTGTTTGCATTTTGCTTTAATTTTTTATATTTTATACTTTTAATTTTAAATTCAGCTTAAAGAAATGTATTTTTCGTTTCCAAAAGCGGTGATAAAAAGCAACCAAGAAGCCAAATCAAAATTAACGCAAAGATACATAAAAAAAAAAAAAAAAAACAAAAACAAATATTTAAAAAATAAAAATATAGTAATCAATAAAAAAAGAATAAATAATTAATGCTTAAATATTGAGCGCTTATTTTAAATTCGAAATGAAATGTGATGAAAAAAATGAGAAAACAAGTTAAATAAATATAAATCGAATTGAAATTAATGAAGAAAACAGAGAAAAGAAAAACAATTGTACCTTGAGCATAAAGCGTAAAAATTGGAATAATACAGAAACCAAACACAAAAGAGAAAAACAAAAACTAAGAGAACAACTATGAAGTGCTAGGCAAAGCCCTATAGAAAGATGCGCCCGGTTTCGTCCAATTTGTTTGTAATGAAGGCAGCCACGACAAAAGATTTCACATGAGATTGGCAATTGCATTTGCAAATTTTGCCAAAATACAGTTTACTGCTCAATTTTCCACATGATTTTGTTGAATTCAAAAAAAAAAAAAAAAAGAAGAAAAAAATTATGGCGCGTTCCTACGCACTGCAAATTTAACATACAAAGCTCATCATATCAAGCGCGTATATCGTAGATCATTAAAGCATCCACGCATGCGCTCTTCTAGGCGATTCTCATAGATGTTAGTTTGCTTAGAGAGAGCAGACAGAAGCACATGCGCTCTTCTAGGCAATTCTCATAGATGATACTTTGCTTAGGGCGAACAGGCATAAACACAATTTAAATGGTTACGTTTTTTTTTATTTTCGCTTATTTAAATTCCATTTTTTTTTTTAAGAAAACAAAAAATTAATCTTAATATTAAGCATTGTATATTTAACTAAAAGAAAATGAAGTCTCTTATCGATGATCGTTCCTTAAACTTAAATCATAAGATTTACCATAACAATACTTACTTATAGTAGCTACACAAGATATATATATATATACATATATATCTCGATTTAGTGCTATATGAAAATAGTATTTTTATTGTGAGATGGGCATTCTTATAGAATGTTTGAATTATTATTTTTAGAAATCAACTAACTAACTAAACTAACTAACTTATTAATTAATTACTCTATTGCTAGTTAATAACGAAGGCTAGACAATGTAGTGAATGAAGCTTACAACACTTATACAACAACAAACAAACAAACAACAAGAACGAGAACAAGAAAAACAACCAAAAAATATAAACACATGAGTCCAAGTTTAGAACTTAATAATCAAAAATATATTTAGATACACTTTTCTGCAGGTATTTAACTAAAAACTAAATTATTAACAAACGTGAAAGATTATACTAAAAATAATAATATAAACGAAAAACCATAGAACTATAGAGCAAAGCACATTCAACATTGACCCCACCATAAACCAAGGACTACTAAATTTCATACACTAGTTTTTTATACACATACGACTAGCACACACACACATACACACTTCCACACACACACACATACAGACACACATAGTTAAACGGGCCCAAGTTTATAATGGAGGGTGCATATCTTTTTTGCTAGGCCAGGAGAACATTTTTGCCTTGATAGCATTTGGGTTTTTGTTGAAATCGAAACACGAATAACTTATAGGAAACAGGGTAAATGATGCAATTAACAATTATAAAACTTGAATTAAAATAAT